TGCGGTATATTACGGTATATTTCCATCCTACCATATAAGGAAATGCGAATTCCAAATATGGGATGATTACGCGCGTAAGCGTCTTCTAATAATAAAAACAAACATGGCTGCCATCGGGATTTGACCGGAATCCACACAAAGAAGTTCGCTGATTCTGTTCTAAACTTTTTGGGTTTCGGCATTCCCATGATGTATCCTTGGAAGGAAAAGTATAATAATAAGGTAATTACGAAGAATACCTTTGAGGTATTCTTGTAATAACCTCATATTAATTGTACACTATGTTCACGCTTGACGAACTACTCTGGGTATCAATATTGACATGTTTAATTCTGTACTAAATCTTATTTTAGTGTATATAACTTTAATTTAGTGGAATATAAATAAAACATACGTGGGTTGCCCATAAAGACTCATTGAATTTATGCGAATACAGATTTGATCCCAAGGCACCACCATTTGCCGTGAACTTACGTGCTTATAATGTAAAAACTCGATTTCTTGTGCCACGTGTATCCACCATTGTTCTCTGTAATTCCAACCTCTGCAGATAAGCACGTAGATCGCCCCCTATGGCAAATTCCACCACCAGTTGCAGAGAACCTGTAGATACGGCAACAACAAAATGAATTGACAAGACCATCATAATGAAGTATAAAATGCAAATGGCTTAATTAGTGCTGATTAGATCACACAAAGCACGTATGAAATTTCAAGTTGCATAATATTAATTACTACTGCTTCAATTATTAGAAAATTGGTGGGGTACACACTGACGCGATGAGAAGTATGGGATTTGTGTTTTCGTATGAACTAATTAATTAGACTTACAGACGTTTGAAAAAACCTAATCTGCGACTCACCGCTGTCAACAACTATTCCATGTAAATTTACAATATTTGGATGTACTCCTAGTTTGATGTGATTATAAGCCTCCGTTAATAGCGCTTTCTGTTCTGTTCTAGACGTGGTGGCTAGAATTGAATAAAAACCTAATTGTTACAATTTATTGTTATTAGATATACGCCTACTTTATAATAAAGTTGAATAACTTCAAGAATTTGAAAAAAGTCGTACATTTCAAACACTATTCACCACAAACTATGAAACTCACATTTCAACATCTTGACAGCAACGCTAATTTCATTCACTTCAGGTTTCTTATATTGGGCTTTATAAACTTCCCCAAATCCACCTTCA